TATTATATTTCATTTATAATACTTTCAAAAAATAAATAATTAAATACTAAAATAACTTTCAACTATATATAACTATAGTACAATCCAGTTCAACACAGTCACAGTCACAATTACAACTATAACGTTTCATAGCAATCCCAAATACACCCACAAACTTTTCTTATTTCAATTAATATATCCGTTTGTCACGTCATCATCACCATCCTTATATAGAAATAAGGCAAAGTTTATATTCTTATTTTAAAAAGTTGTAAAGTTCATATTCTTATACAAAATGAAAGTTTAAAACTTGATTTAGTAATTCAAAATTTTGTATCGTTAAATAAAAAAAATTTTGAATTTTGTATCTTTATTTACACCTTTTCTCCTTTAATTTGACTTTTTGAACTTTTGGACATTAATTTAGCTGAAAATTTAGCATTGTATACAAATGACAATTGAAATTTTTTTTAATGAAATGAAACTACTTAATAAGAATTATATACATGAACTAGAAAATTTTCAATTATCATTCATATGTTTGATTAAATTTCTGTTTGAAGTTAACATCTAAAGGAAAAAGGTAAAATTATGATGTTCTCGCATTAAAAATGTGTCCAATAACAGCCATATGATGTATTTGATAAAGTTAGGTCCACATTATACTTCATACATTTAATAGTTCCCATAATTGAATAGGGTTAAAATATCAATTTGGTCTCTCAACTTTTAGATTTGTATCCAAATTGTCCCTCAACTTCAAAAAGTGCCACAATTGTCCTCAAACGTTAATTGTTAATACCAAAAAACTCCTTCTATTAATAGAATTATCACATAACTCTTTATTTTGCCACAAAATCAATCTTTTTTAAAGTACTAATAATGTGTAAAATGAAATGGTCATATTTTGTCATTGTAATATATTTTTATTTACAAATTAGATTGATATATAATCAAATTTAAAAAACCAAATTAGTATTTGTAATCAAAGTTCAAGGACTAAGCTAGTGCTTTTCTTCAAAGTTTAAGGAGTAAATTGATATTATCTTCAAAATTTGAAGACTATTTTGATACTAAAAATTAAAGTTTAGGAATAATTTTGATATTTTTTAAAGTTGAGCGACAATTTTGATACAAATTTAAAAGTTGAGGGACTAAATTAGCATTTTAACGGGGTTGGTAATTTAGCTATCATACCAAAAAAGGAGCATAAAATGCATTCATATTTACTTTATATATCTTTTTCCATTTAAAGATTCGTTTCTATATGGTATAAAATGGAGAAATTGTAGACCGAATTCGTAATTCACAACAAGAGAGAAAGAACAAATTTGTTCTTCAGAGGAAAAATGGCTACCACAATAGTTGCAACACTTACTCATCAAGCCTCCTGTAATACCCCAAAAACTTCAAGCACATTAAGTTGAGTTAGGGACCTAATAGTGAAGAAACATTATTAATGGGCCTAACTGTCAGTTTTTCAAACTTTAAAGGGGTTAAAACTCTTATTGGATAAGGCCGGCTGACTCATCTCTTTTTCCTTTATCTTTTCTTTCTTTCTTTTTCCCAGCCATTTTCGCGTCTGCTCTGTTTTCTTTCTCCCTGCAGCCGAACACCACCAGCCTTCATCATCATCTACTTCTCTCAGAAATTGGTAAGAGAACTTGATGATTTTGTTCTCTTCTTGCCCAAGAACAAGTCTAGAACTTAGAACTTCTCTCTCTTGCAGAAAAGTCGCCGGATCTGCCCTACTTCTCCCTTCCCTGCCGCCGGCTGTTGCTGGGTATAAGCTCCGGTTTTTCCTGGTAAAATCAGCCCAGAAACTCTTCTTTTCAGCCTTGATGTATATTGGGTTCACCCTAATCTTGTTCCTTCCAATTGCTAGTGGCCCGTGAAAGTCCTCCAATTTTTCCTGTCGCCTCTCCCCCATACCGCCAGCTCCAGCCTTGCTTGCTGAGCATTTCTGGTAAGTTGGCTTCTCTAATCTTCGAAAATTAGTGGATTAATGGCTGTTGTGAGTTAATTGGTTGTGTCGGTGTTTGGGTTGTCCAAAAACAATCTGTCGGAGGTAGGGGATGAGTTTGGCAATTTGAAACTGGATTGGTTGATGATTTAAGTAGAAAATCCTTAAATTGGCTGTTGTGTATGTGTCTGAGAGAAAAGGAGGAAAACTCTGTGAATTGGCCTTTTTGTCAAGGCTGGTTCTCCCAATCCTGTCCATTAGTTTGAAAAATTGTATATGTGTAATTGTATAATTGTACATACGTAGATATTAATTTGGGAATATTGTGATTAGGTCCTTAATTGCCCTGTGATCCTAGCACTTGGATTAAGTCTCCTGTCCTGTGCAATTAAGGTAAGTAAATTTATGGTAATACCCGTATGGTTTCAAAAGCATGTTTTGGGTTTGTTTTTGAAATGGTGGCGGGACTAAACTCGTTTTATACAAAATAAGTATGATTGTTTTGAACTGAAAGTTTTTATGATTTTTATGAATTTGAGCATGCCTACTTGAAGTTCATTTGATTGACCCGATGATTGAAAGTTATTTGTAAAGAATGATTTTATGTTAACTTCTGCCTGTTTTGTCTCCGATGTGGTTATGTTATTGATGATCCTGCTAGTGGGGGTTAAACACTAGCACATGTCGACATGTTATTGATAGAACCGGT